CACTGGATTGCTCCAGGTGCCCGCAAATAATCCATCCAGATGTGCATTAAAGTAGCCACCTTAAGTTTAACCATTAATTAATAATAACTCTCACATCTGTCATGGATCACTCAAACCAAACCACGTCTAAAGGGCATAGCATAGGAGTATAAGCATAACGTAGAACTCCCAGGGTTTGAGTAAAAGTCAATAGGTTCCTACCTCATCAACTACTTCCCAATTACCCACATGTTGTCAAATCCTACTCATGCAATGATTGACGATTGAAACTAATGCATAAAAACTGGGTAAGGGATATGATCAAAGTGTTACTTGCTTTGTTGACGATTGGAAAACCCTAGTGATTCGTAGTAGCAAGCCTTGCACTCCGGAAACTCTATCATGAATAAACAATAGCATACATAAGCACTCAAGCATAAGATGCAAAGGTAAAACCCAAAAGAAAAGATCCAAACAAAAAGTTCAAGTGAAGAGCTTCGATTTGCAAAAAGAATCAATCGAATCGGAGCTACAAAACTCAAACTATGATAAAAATAAGTTCAAAATCAAATCTGCTTGAAACCAAATTTTAAATTTCCAAAATCATGTTCAAGTTGATTATCTGGAAAGAGGGGAACAAGGTGAAGATTTTGGCGTTAGTTTCACTGGATTTGGGCAAACGAGTAGAAAGTAGCGGAGGTTTGAAGTTTAGGGACTAATCTGTGATAAAAGTTATTACGGATAGGTCCCTAGCTGAAAATAAAACTGAAAAGAAAAATCTATCGAACAAACATTCGCTAACAGAGTCTAACAAACGAAAACCGTTCGTTAAAACAATCTAACCAGTGAACGTTTACTAATTAGACTAAAACAAAAACGAAAAACCAATCTAAAACTAAACCGATCTAAAAAATAAACCAAGAAAACCGAACGGTTTTTATACCGTTTAACCGGAGAAAATTGACGGCGGGATCCGACGGCTCCGGCGGCTCCGGCGAAGGGGCGGCAGTGGCGAGGCTGGCGGCTTGTGGCTCCGATCCAGACTCCGGCGAGATTCCGGCGCGAGCACGGGGACGAGGCGCGGCGCATTGGGCCAGCCCAGGAATTTTTTTTAAAAAAAGAAATTTCGCCGCGAACAAAAATCCTAATAAAATATAAAAAAAATCTAGAATATTCTAAAAAATTTCAGAAACAATTTTCATTGTCCAAAACTAATATTTAGGACAAGATGGACATTTTTCTGGACTAAAATGCAATTTTCAAAAATGCACGTTTTTCTCTAATTCAATTAAAATAGCAAATAAAATAATAATTTTATTTTTAAAAAATCTCCAATATTTCTCTTCCGGTGAAGAAGTCATATTTTCTTCTCTTATTTATTATTTTATTGTTGGAAATAATTGGAGAGAAAATATTAAAATCAAATTAGTCATTTTTTCAAATTTGAAGATAAATTCAAATATGAAAATCTGTGAAACCTCCAACTCTCTTCTTGGGTCCTTGAGTTGCTTAAGATTTCTAGGATCACCACCAAATGCAAAAAAATATGATATGCATATGATGATCTATGTATAACATCCAAATTGAAAATTGGGATGTTACACGGTCAAAACAAGTTACAACTTAGATGCACCGTTTAGGAATAATGTGATTTTTAATTCTCATGATAACCTTTGCATGATATTGATCCTATACTTTGGATGGTATATGCATGTAACATTGGGGTGGTTATCTCCCGCTGATCTGTTATAGTCTTTGCATGTGAGAAAGGGGCCAAATAGAGAACCAGATTTTTACCCTTTTCCGGATGTCGGAAGACATGGATGGTTATTTTTCTACTAATGGTGTGTGTGCCTTTGTTGTAGTAGAACACACGAGTGCTTGAGTTGCGTCCAAGTTGTTATTGCTGAACTCCATCCATTGTGTGTTGATGGTTTCAAAGGATGCTACTTACTGTGAATCTGTGACACAATGCTAATTTCAGGCTTGAGAAAACTGTTCACTGCAGCTTTGGCTCCAAGATAAGAGATTTTGCATTTGTAGGCACAACAAGGTATATCATTAATTAGCTTGCTAATTTTGTACTTTTCTATCATTAAGTTGCTCATTTACAATGGTATAATTTATGTTTGTGAATAATTTAAGGATGACCTTATTCCTATAAACAAGACAAATGTTAATCATTTATTTCTTAACATTTTTACATAGGGAAACAACTGTTCACCTTTTTGCCAAAATTTATCATTTTATCATTTGTTCACCATAAATGTATTTCATTTATTTTTTTGGAAAACTTTGAGGTGCAAGACGACCCTCCAAAACTGGGATAGGATAGATAGACAGTTTGAAGAAGTTTATAGTTCAAATCGGACCAATCATTCATTAGGGTTTAAAAACAACTTTGCTCTTAAACATCTGACCCGACACTTGTTGAATATGTAGGCTCATGATCGGCACTGATGCGGGAATAGAAATACTGGACATCGATATAGAGTCACTAGCATAGTATGTGAGCAATAAGGAGTTGTAAAAACTACATGTATGAATTTTCTGATTGTTTTGTAATTTGCCACAAATGTACGTGTGGGAGCGACATGCATGCTTCTCAAGAAAAACTCTGGTATATTGAGATCCAAGATAGGGACGCAAACATTTGGAACTCCGTGGCAGATCAGACTGGAATCTGGTCCGCCAATATGTGTTTCATGATTCGGGTTGAAAGTAGCAATTATTGATATACCAATTAATAAATGTCTCCTCTGTCCATAAACTTCTTATATTGTGGGACAGAGGGAGTAATATATTATGTCAGTCTACCAAATACACCGGTGTACTCTCTTCTTTTTTAGTCTACATATAAAATTTGTATAAAGTCAAATTTTGTAAAATTTAATTAACATTATAGAAAAAATATCATCATTCACAATACCAAATTAATATCATTAAACTAATTTTCATACTTATAAACTTCAGTATTATACTCTCTCCATTGCTAAATATAAGACCTTTTAGAGATTTTGATATGAACTACATATGGAGCAAAATGAGTGAATCTACAATCTAAAATATATCTATATGTAGTTCGTATTGAAATCTCTAAAAGGGCTTATATTTAAAATCGAAGGGAGTAGATGTTGATACTTTTTATATAATTTTGATCAAACTTTGTATAGTTTGGCTTCAAACAAACTTATATGCTGAGTAAAACATAGAGCGAGTATACCATAGAAATGAATGCCAAGTTACATGCCAGTCACATGCAAGAACAAATCTCTAGGGAAACATTTGTCGTTGGTAGTCTGATTAGAAGCATTCGTCAGGCCGATCGGCTTCCATCGATTTTGGTTAAATCTCATGGTCAAAATATTTTCCATCTTGTTGCCATTTAAAAAAAATCGTGTCATTCCTAACCATTCGCATTCGCCATGCATAACCCCCTCGCTAGTCACTCACACATATCCCTCCCAACCTCTCTTCGTCTCTCTTGCCTCACGCACCTCCCACGATCTCGGCGCCAACTGCACCGCCCTAGTCAGTGGCGGAGCCAGGATTCGAGTATAGAGGGGGCCGAGTACGTATATTGATCGAATCTTGTTGATAATTACTAGTTGCTTCT